GCTATAAGTCTGGAGCTCACTATCTGGCTGGGGTTTCTAATCTTTCTGTCTTTATTTTCCCTGTTGCCTGTTGCTATCAGCATGTTCATCGTGCTTACAGTAAAGAAAGTCATCTAGAAGCTATTCATCTGACATGTTGCAGGTGATTAATCCTCTGTGACATGTCAATACGTTCTGGGGGGCACCTGTAAGTCACTGCCTTTCGTTTTTACTGTAATGTCAAGTAATTTGTTATGCTGTTGTGGGATGTTCTTTTCCAGATGAATAAGCTCCACTCGGCTCCAAGCTGCTTTGTGATCCTTTCATTAAGAGGAAAACTATCAATAAATAGGGAATCTTCCAAATAATACATTATTTAAATCCAGTGTAGGCTTTACACAATTTAGATTTTATTCTCTAGCTTCTGCTTCTTGCAAAAAAAAAAAAAGATGTTGGATGGCAATCCTCAGACTTCACCCAACATTTTCTTTCCTCTCCTTTGCCTGCAGGGACCTGAAATTGGATAATCTCCTTTTAGATGCTGAAGGATTTGTGAAGATTGCAGATTTTGGACTGTGTAAGGAAGGTGAGTGATTTTAGTAAAACTGACATTGAACCATCAGAGCCAGTTTAGGATCTGGGTTTTAGTAATGTGTTCACAAATACAGATCCTGAGGTGCTTGTGTGCAACTTGTATTCATCCCAATCTTAACAATAAAACAAACCCCACCAAAACCAAAGCAAAACAAAACTTCAACAAACCAAACAAGAAAAAAACCTCACCTGTCTGGCCATGGTGAACTTGGAAAGAGTACTTTGTCCCTTAATCTTCAGGAAACTTATGAAGGAGTTTACAATGTGCTTGTTTGTTCAAAGGAAACAGAATATAGGATACCACAAAACTGAGCAAATGAGCAATGGAATCTGCAGGAAGTTTCCTTGCTTTTGCTGGTTATTTAAGCATTGTCTGTATATTTCTTATTTGGAGTTGTTAGGGGCCTCAGGTTTCATACTTCCTTGTTGGTGTTTACAAGCATTGATGAGAACCTCTGCCCTGTTAACAACATTGGAGTATCAAATGATAAACGCTGGCTTTCAGAAGGTGAGGCTGCATGTAGTCCATTTACTAACTAGTGCTGGATTTTACAGAAGTGTTCTTCTACAGGAATAGGCTTTGGAGACCGCACAAACACCTTCTGCGGCACCCCTGAATTTCTGGCTCCAGAAGTCCTGACAGACATCTCGTACACTCGGGCAGTAGACTGGTGGGGATTGGGAGTGCTCATTTATGAGATGCTTGTTGGTGAGGTAAGGCCACCTCTCTCTAAGAGGACCTCTCTAAGCAGACTTGGGGAGAGTAGTACCTGACCACCTGAGATAAAATTTTGCTGAATGTAGCCAACTATTTAGTAGTACTTAAATTACATTTTTCTCATTCATAGTGCCTGCCAAACACTAATTAATCCATACAACTCCCTGCTATTCTCATACCTATTTAATAGTGAGGAATGGGTGCTATGTGGATTAAATAATAAAATGTCACAATTGCAGTCACCATTCCCTGGAGATGATGAGGAAGAAGTCTTTGACAGTATTGTCAATGATGAAGTCCGGTATCCACGATTCCTTTCATCCGAGGCACTCTCTATAATCCGTAAGGTAATGGGCTTCATGGGTCTCTGGGAGCATGAGGAATTTGCATTTACTGTGTAAGTAGATCCAGGGGGACCCTGTTAGGACTGGGTAGCGTTTGTGCGTGTAATCTGGAGCTGCCTACACAGACTGAGGAAACATTTAAAATTTACACATTTTTCATTTCCTTCTCTTTACATAAATGCTATTCTTCTGCCTGAGGATGACTAAGCAGGCTCCTTACTGAGGTCTGTTGCTGCTAAGTCTGAAATGGAGACACGTGGCTTCAAGGGCAGTAATGTCAGAAACGTTCAGTGGAGATGGCTTGATTCAGTTTTTGCATGTGACCCAGTAGTCACAGGTGCAGGGTTAGGATGAGATGCTTCGTGCAGTTTATAGCGGGTATCTCGTTGATGTTGGCAAGTTGTTTGCAAGGAACTAGGACTGAGCTATTACTAGCAGATTATGACCTTGCTGCAAAGTGAGAACGAGAAGATACCGAGGGTCATTCCATCTCCATTCTTTTGTTTTTCTCCCTAGAACATAATTTCTGTCCATCCTTGTTCCTGTTGTTTAATTTTGAACTGATATTTCCTGCAGCTTCTTCAGAAATGTCCAGAGCGTAGACTGGGAGCAGGGGAAAATGATGCAGAAGAGATTAAAATCCAGCCCTATTTTAAGGTAGGAACTCACTATATCCCTCCCCCTCATGTCTTGTGTTTGAGCTGAGTGATTTGCTTTCTGTTGAGGCATATTTCCATTAGTTGTCAGTGCAATCTCAGTGGTAGCTTCTGTTGCGCCTCATTGCTCTATCCAGAAATACGTGTTTCAACTCCTGTTTGAAATTACATCCCCCAAGTGTGTTTTCTGGGATCCGTAAGCTTCCAGAGCCGGTTTGTTATTTCTGATTGTGTTACTTCTACATACAAATATAGCTACCTTTTGAGCCATCAACAAGTACCCCTTTTAAAATCAAACTGCAGCAGTCAAAAATGCTGTCTAGTGATGACAGTGATCGCCAGTCAGTCTACGTGATGGCACCCGCATTTGCAGGGTATACATGAATCCTAAGAGAAATTGAGGTAAAAGACACATTTGTTTCACGTCAAGGGTATATGTCTGTTCCAGACAAAGGTGTTACTATTCCTCCTTGTCATTATCCATCTGCCAGAAGTTATTAGACTTAAAGCCCCTGGCTGGCTTTGCACTGGAATAAGAAAAGAACTTGGATGTCAGCAGAAGTTGCTGGGAAGTCCACAGATCCACCCAGCCACAGCTGTGCTTTAGTTTTGTCCCTCCTAAATGCAGTTTGAGCTGTAGCTCTGTTTCTTAGTGTTCTGAAGAGCAGCCTTTAGGCTCTATGGAATCTCTCTACTACCTGGCTTGCACCAACTGTGCTATTTGTTTTGGACCTTTTTTCATTTCTCTCTCTTTTTTGTGTGTGTGTTGTTTGGTTTTTTTTTTTAATTATTTTAATTAGTAGGAATAAAACATGTTGCAAATGTTCCGGAAGGAAGGCTGCAATCCTCACTCTCACTTTCACATTTCATAAAGAATCTTAATGTCAACTTGTCCTGTTCACTTCCTTCTCTTACAGGAGATTGATTGGGATGCCTTGTTTGCCAGGACTCTGAAGCCCCCTTTTGTGCCCACTTTGAGAGATCCGACGGACATTAGCAACTTTGATGAAGAGTTTACATCACAGAAGCCAATCCTTACTCCTCCAGAGGAGGTTGCTCTCCTAACCCGTAAGGAGCAGACTGTCTTCAAGGACTTTGACTTTGTCTCCAGACACCTTTTAGATGTTTGATTGCTGTGCTGTAAGAAACATGAACAGATTGTTACCACCTTGAGAGTGTAGAGAGGACTTGGCATGGGCAATGGAAGAGTCAACAGGATTCATAGAAGTAGTGCTGATGGCCTCAGGACGAGAGTGCCCTGCAACCTGAATTAACTACTGTGGTTTTTTCAGCCTCATTTGTTGGAGGGATACTGGATGTCTATTATCTTTAAGGAGTAGTTACTGTTTGGCTGGATGTATCTTCTGCTGCCATTGAATATAGATGGTAATTTGGAATTTAAACTGGACTTAATTTAATGAAATCAAATCATATCTGCAACCCAGGTTACTCTTTGCAAAAAACCCAAGTAAGCAGCATGGCTTTTTAAAGTTGCATAGTAGCAGGGAGAATGGCCACTTGTCATCTATTTTTCTACAAAAGATATGCAGCATTCCCTTTTTGTAATGATTTTATGCCCGTTCCTACTCATAACTGTGTGTATGCCAGAGAAGGAATGGATTTTTACACAACCAGGACAATGATGTTTGGATTTGATAATGATCCAAGTGATCTGTCTTAAGGATAAGGAGTCTTTCTACTCTGAGGATGCTAAATCGTAGCTATTGTTTTTAATTATATAAAAAAGCCACAGCTTTGCACATGCTGTTTTTTAAAAAATAAAGATACCTTTCCTTATAATGAAATTTGAGCTTTTCATCTCCTTTGTGTTAGCTGAATGTTTCAGATCAGGACTAACCGTATTCTGCTCAAAAGACAGGGTTTTATTTTTCTCTGTAAATGTCAGTAGTAGTATTTTCTTCTTTCTCATTCAAGTGGTCTGTGTACATATTGCACAGTGTCATCAGTTGTCACATACAAACGATCACAGGAGGGTTGTCTCTCCACAGATTTTATCAATGTGTATATCCTATGTCTCTTTTGGGATAGCTAAATGATGACAGTGTTAATATTGGAAAATTGGTAAGTTAAAGGTGATTTCATTTGCCTGGTAACATATCTTGTAATTGTTAAGATACATTTTCTTCTCTTAGATTCATAATGTTAGCTTGTTGGGCAAAAAGAGGAAGGGTATCTGGAAATAAAACATCACACGTGACAAATAGGGATGCACAGCCATTACCCTTTCGATTTGTCTTCACCAGGGGTAGACAGAAGTTGAACTAACACAGCTGTGTTGTAACTGGAGATAAGGTTTGGGTGCAACTAGTGAGTTGTCATTATTAAATCAAGGCTGGTCATTATTAAATCAACACTTCACAATTCAGAGAGGTAAGAACTATGTTTGTGTAAAACAGAAATGATTCACACTGAGCCTAGATTTCCTATTTTCAGAGCCAAGTATAACTGCTTCTGAAAATTCCTGTGTACAAATATCCTTCCAACCTCCTGCTCTGCCTTGCAGTGTAATGGCCCCTTTAAAGCAGGAGAAACATTTTCCTCCCTCCTGTTTCAACAGTAATGGTTGGCTTGCTCTTGGCCCCTGCAGTGTGTTTTGTGACTTTTCTTAAGGTCAAGGCTTCTGTAAAGTGGTAAGTAGCACAGGTGAAAGCTTTGGTTCAAAGAGACAGGCATAAGGAACCAAAAAAGGCGTATTTCATATTTTAATTTATAGTTTATCATAGAATAAAAAAGACTGTAAATTACCATCCTGGTGCATTTTAAAAATAATTACCCAACAGCAAAACTGTGTACCTGCTGACAAATTTTTATCTGACTGATACCTGAAGAACCAGAAATCATTACGTGGCAGATAAGCCATACTTTAGCAGGTACCACACTGACACAAACAAACTGCAGAATCCTTTCTGTATGGTATACGATGTTATAAAAACAATTCTTAGTGTTCTGATAAGCCTCTGATAGGGGTTTCTACCCTGAACAAACAGACCACACAGATTACAAACTCTGGAGTTGGTCAAAAGAGGGATCCTTCTGCTGTTTTTAAACTGCTTTTGGATTGTCGTGCTGTATTAGTGACTACACTCTCCCTTCAGGAGTGCTCATCAACTTGAAACCCTGAGTGCATCCTAGCAGCTTGCCAGATGTGCGCTTGAGCTGGTGTTATTTCCTGAGCCAAGGCAATTAAAGCACAAAATAATTTAAACTCGGGTTTTGTTGTGGTGCTGGGTTTTTTTTTTAAAACAGAAAAGGGTCAGGACTAAAATCCACAGCCCAAGTAAGCTTTGCTGCCATCCTAGAAAGCTATCAGCACCTCCTCATCTCAGTGAAACACACAGGATCTAGAATCTTTACTCTTGCATTAAAACACTGTATTCTTTTATTAAAATGTTAGTGATGCGTTGAGGCAGTAGTATTACTAACAGTATTACTTTCAGCTAGGCAAGAAGTACCCACCTCTGCTACTGGTTCTCTCCCCAGAAGCTACAGGAAAGGCCTCGAGCATGAAGTTAACTGCAGAACTAATTCAGCAGGCGAGTATTACTTTTACGTTCAAAGAAAAGTGGATGGTATCATTCTTTGTGGACTTGATTCAAAATAGTCTGTGAATTGTTAACAGCACCATCAGCTTAAAGAAAAAAAACCTGTTAGGAAGCTGGTCAGGGCATCACAAAGTACAGGCTAATTATCTCATAAGGTAAATTTGGTGCCTTACAGCTCTTTCTCATGCACATTGACACCTTTAAGCCTCAAATCTTTGTGAAAAGCATTAATTCAAGGCATGTGGTCAAAATGAAATTTGCTTTTGACTGCCCAAATATTTACTTAAATATTTCTATTACATGCTCAACACTACTGACAAAAGGCACTGTGGTTCTCACAGTGAGAACTATGTTGAAGAAAGGCCACAGGAATTATATTGATTCTGTCTGGTTTTGTCTGTAATAGCTGCTGTTCCCTAGCAGCAAAGGAGAAGGAAGCTTTGGGGAAGAGAAGTGAACACTCCTCTTGCATCTATTCCGGAGAGGTGTGGATCAGTTCACAGAAGAAAGTAAATTTAGAGAGATGCCTTTGCTCAGTCCAGAAATCGGCTCTGCTGGCCTTCCCAGAACCAGTGTCGCGCCTTTAACCGTGTTCTATAAAAAATAACCCTGACTATCCTTGAAATGTAATTTGCAGGACGAACAGGTTTTGGAACAGGTTGCATAGTTCATGATGTACTGAGGTTCCATGCAAGGAAACGGCAGTGACTGCATCAGCAAAGCTTTCCCCAGCCACCTGCAGCTGTGTTGGCACTCTAGCAGGTAGGTACGACTGCCACTAGACAGGCTCATTGTTCCTGTGAAAGTAGATTTTCTCCCATGCAGTGAGGTGGCATGAACAGAAGAATCTCCAGAGGTTGAGGATTACCCCTTGGTCAAAGGGATTCTCCAGCTCAGAGTGTCGCAGGTAGGAGATGCGATGATGTGACATGAATTCCCAGGTGGTGGTGTTGCATGAGATCAGATAGAAGTGTGAAATAAGCAGCAGCAGGACAACAATGGTGAATATAACTATCACAAGGAAGGACATGAGGAGGAGAATGTTGTGCTGCAGCCACTCCCAGGACTGTTCAAAGTAGAGGCCTGACCTTTCAATTCAAAGAGAAAGAAATTCACAGTTAAAGATGTAGAACTAGTTACATAAGCCAAGCAAACTTGGCACATTTAAGTTTGATTTGTAACTGGTGAGCTTCTGATAATCATTCGCTGCAGAGAGTCAAAACAGTATAAACTCTTGAGAGACTGCTCCAGTAGTGACTTAGATTCTAAAGCTTAAAAGATGCTGGCTCCCCTGACAGCCGAGAGAGACAATCATCTTCAGTTAACGCCTGCCCTGAGCAGGCGTACAGGTGAAACCCTGCTGCAGTTTCCAATACTTCGATTTGTAAAGAAAGATTGTATTATGGTAACTGAAACAAAATTAAGTAGCTGCTTTTGTCCTGTTGTTAATTCTGTTAATTTAAGCTTTAACCAAAGATGAACACTGAAACACAAACTATCAGATTCTGCTCCGCTATTGATCAGCTGTGTTGTCCCTCAGCAGAGCGGATCTCCAGGATGCAAAAGGGGGTAAAGATACAAAGTCAATCCAAGGCCATTCCAGTCACTGCTGTGTTCTACTTAAACCCTTCAGTGGGGCTCCAGGAGCACCAAAACTTCCAGCAATCTCAGAGCTGACTCCAGGCCTTACCAAGCAACGTGACCTCCCCAGAGCAGAACTACAAGCTGCACGCTCAAGTAGACGATGAAGAGGGGGTGATTCTTCTCTCCCACGCAGTTCTCAATCCAGGGACAGTGATGGTCGTAACGCCGGACGCAGTGCTGGCACAGCTGGCAGTGCTTGGCTCGCATCGGTTGCTGCAAAACAAAACCAACCAACCAAACACTAGCCCATTGAGTCAACTCCCCGTTTGGTACAGAACATCATGCAGTACCATCTTCCTCAACAGCAGTGCTGTCCCAACAGCACTCCCTTCTGAGGTGACAACATAAACATTGGTAAGACAGTGTGTTTACAAGGGAATCGTGATTTCCCCTGGTACAGATCCAAACGAGATTCAAATTAAATTACTCTCCTCCACTACTTCTATCTATAAATTTTCTTTATTATCTGCCTATTTATAGGAAGTCCAGTGTGCAAAGGAGGGAGATGGAGCCAGTTTGTTCTGTTCAGGAAAGCACCAACAGAGTATTGAGGTGAAAAACTAGGACCACAGCTACTGAAGAAAGTGTGCAGGGATGGGATGTCTTTCTGGGACTGCACAGAGGAGGGAAGGGTCTCTGTGTGAATACAAGACACTTGCACAGGAAAGCAGCTCAAGTACCAGGAATAGAGAAGATGAAAGACCCAGCAGAGGAAGGTAGTATGAATGTGCTTCCTAGGATTTTTTCCTTGAAGCATATATTTATATGTTTTACCAGCTTTTCCTCTTGCAATAAGCTGGCTTCTCCTGGTAGACATTCTTAAGGAATTTATGGAAGCTGGGATAAAGCTTGATTTTATTAAACTGATAAGGATCACTCTGAAAACAGGCACTTCTATGCTTTAGGCAAACTGGTTTAAGAGCTAATTTAATTGCTCAAATTTTTCCTTCATGCTATCTTTTACAACTCAGGCTAATGTTTTGTTGTTTTTAGGCCTCCAACCAAGCTCACAGCTACCAGCAGTTCTTAGATGTCACGCTCAACTGCTTTTCTGACTCTCTATCAAGAAATCTTCAAAAATAGCCTCTTTCACACTCCTATAAGGTCTGATATGGCAGTAAGCATGCAGACTACAATTTTCCCATGGCAAAAGATGGTCCTTGTTTCTGTGACTTGTTCAAGCCTTGGAAAACTAGCATACGTGCCACTGTCCATCACTACTACACCTTTAGCTACACAATTCCTTTGCATCACTTTATAATTCGGGACTGTATCTCAATTCAATTTGCTAGTTGTATTTACTTTTTCTGTTTGTTTTCAGCAGGAGGGTGACCCTATGACAGAATTAATCAGATCTGCCATGCCTCCAAACCACTGAGCAGTGAGCAGCACTGATAGAGCAGAACAAACACTGGTGACAGCAGCTGAACAAAGATGTTGCCAAAAAATGTTTAGCTTGCAAACTGGTCATCCCCTTATCTTCTAGTGTGTTATGAATGCCTACCTTCACCATGCAGTAACCACAACGACGCATCTTAATGTTACTTGGAATCTGGGGTGTCACCATGCTTTGTTCTTCACTCTTGTCTGCCTACAAAAAAAGAGACAGGGAGTGACTAAGGAGGTTTTGTGTGCTGCTCTCTTGGCGTGACTGAGTCTGGATCCTTTTCACAGTTACACAGTGCTGGTTATCTCTGCCATTAGGAGGGTTAAACGAAATAATTCCTTAGAATTCCTACAGAAGCTGCAGACAATTAAGGTACAGTGAGAGAGAACAGGCTCCTGTAACCATCAAAACAACATTTGCACAGAGGCAGAAATAATTGTGGACAAGATACCACACTGATCCCAGTGTCACACTTTCGGACAAAAATAAACAAGGTTATACTTCACTTCCAAACACAAGAAGGATGTTTTTTCAGTACAAGCAGTGCTACTTATTCAAAACACAGCCAACACTTACATTAATGATGAGTGATTAGAATTGGCAATGCTTTTGTCCTACACAATCTGTAAGGCAGCAAACCTGGAGCAGGCTCCTCTGTTACTGAAACTTTGCATCTGCATTGACTTCACTGTAACTTGTTTGTGTACATGTCCTCTGAGAGGGCAACAAATCTATAAACAGTTCGATAAATAGAGCTGCAGAAAGCACTTTCTCCCAACCTTGCCATTCAATTGGGGTTTTTTTCTACTCGTACCACTTAGTGGTCGTTAACATAAAACAGGTCATGTGTACATTCCATAGGATACTGCACCTCTGATGCAGGAGAGGACTTTGCTCAAATGCCTCCCTGCGTTTACAGTCGGACTGTGGTGTAAAAGACACCAAGTCAGTGAACCCTATTGAACAGACTACGAATCAGAGACTGTCTGGCCTAATCCCCAAGGGTCTGTGTATGTTTTTTTTTAATGCCAAGTGCAGCAGAAACTGTTTCAGCTTGCTCTTACCTAGCAGAGTGGGAAAAAGAAAAAAAGCCTCTAGATTTTATAGCCTCACCACTTTGTTCCATTCATGAAGGGATATACCTCCACTTCTTCTTCAGACTTAACAAAACCCGGATCCATGAGAGACACCCTGAAGTACAGCAGGACAGAGCACAAAACCAGCAAGACGAAGATCAGCGACTGCAGCAGCTCTCCGCGCTCCGCTTGCTTTTGCAGATCTGAAAGGTACCAAAAAAAAGCGCGAGTAGTTCCTTGTGAAGCGTTTAGGATTTTTCTCTCTGGCCTTAACAAAGGGGTCCCGCACCTACGGCAAGGGCGACGGGGAGAAATCGGGGCCAAACCAGGCGGTGAGAGGGCGCGGAGGGCAGAAGGCGGCAGCGGAAGGGCGGCCCGAGGACACGACACCCCACCTGCTGATTC